CCCCCCCCCCCCCCCCCCCCCAAACCCTGTTTTTATTTTATTTTTTTATTTTTTTATGCTTAAAATGCACTCAATTATTTTGGGGGGGATCCCCTGGCAGTGCATAGACCCCCTTCACTTTTCTTTTTATGTTTTTTTTTTTGGGGAAGGGGCAAAAAAACCGTTGTCCGGAATCCCGGACAACTCCCCCCCCGACCGTTTCTTGGAGACGTCTCCCCATCGGACAGTTGATAACGTAGCTTGTAAAGGTATTCGCACCGACATCGCATCTTTTGGCCACACACGTTGGCAACAGGAAAACTTACGTTAAACGTGTTTCAACCGGGTGAATAAGCACAATATCAGGGCTCTTCTTCCTGTAAAGGGAGAAAGTCGCGATACGCAATTTGATAAATTGCACCAACGCTCGAGCACGGATGCTCGTATCTTTGGCCCTATCCACTCGTGCCCCTATGTCTGACAACATCAAGTCACAAATGTGGGTCAAGGAAGGGAGCCAAGTAATTTGCCTCACCTGCAAAAGACAATGGGCCCCGTCTTGGGGACAGACCCGTCATGGCAGATGGTGGCATAGAGGAAGGGCGTCATTGACGTCCACGACAAGGAAGTGCACGATCAGTCGTGCGTCATGAGACTTCCTACCATCTGACAACACGGTGGCGCTGTTGTGAACGAAGCCTCTCGGACCTCCCGGAGCATGGCCGCCACCTTCACCCTCTGCTAAGGAATGTCAGCACCGCTGATTTCCTTGAAGGGGGGAAATCCTGGGTGCACACCTCGAGGCAAGTCTGATGCTGCCTTCTGGACTTCCCTCCATGACTGTATACTGAAGGCGTTAAACAGAATGCTAGCGCCATACACCCACTGCAGAAACTTGTAACCGAATAACATCCGCTTCTCTGCATCGTAAACCTCTTTCATTGTGTTGTGGCGGACCCTCTTCCCCAGTCGAGTCGGAGCGTCATCCGCCCCCACCACCTTCCGTTTTCCCATGTCTCTCCCCGCTCCCTCTTATGTCGTGCGTACTCCACTGCCTAGCCCACACGACGTCATGACCACCTCCCTTCCAACTCCACACCGCTGGCTTGGTCACCACCATCGCGCCTCTCGCCTCACATCTCGCACTCCATCTTACCCAACACGTCTTGCACCTCATCCGTAGGTGCAGTGGAAAGCGGCACTCGCGGAGGTGCAGCAAGTCTCTAATGCCTTCAGCCTCCATGTATGTGCGAATGGACCTCACGTGCGCATCAACGAATTTATATTTTGTGTCATTCCATATGTCGACAAGCACGCCCACGTCGCCCAGCTCTGCAACCGGGCACTTTTTCCGCTGAACGAAATATAAAGCGGTGTTGGACTAGTTTCCCTGCCACACGTGTTTGCACAACTTGCATCTCAATTTGATGTCCCGTGGATCTTCTCCCATGATCCTACCCTCTGCCCCTATATCACATACTTCCAAATGCACAAGGCCCTCCTCAACTTCGTCATCTCGGCGTATGACATGGGGATGAACGAAATTTTTCCTAGACCCACTTGCCTAGTGACTCATGGTCAAAGCCCCCTGTTGTTCCCCAGTCCGTGTCCCGTAGATGGTGTCCTTTGATGCCGCTTGTACTCGAAGTCGCCCGTCGAGATGCCTGTTTATATCGGTTGTCGATGTCGTCCTCCCGTTGAAACGAACGAATGCCCCTGGCTGCCCTCGGGCCCCCTTCTCCTCCGCACACTCTCCAAGCACATGACCCGCCCCCGTGCCGACCCTGCTGGGCCCGTCACAGGTGGGCAACCATGACAGCGGTTCCAGAGGTCGAATCCTCAACCGCGCGGTGGCGATCACAGCGGCCGTTGCAGACCAGGCGAGGGAGCGAGGTCTCTCAAAGGCGGCGCTAGGCGATGGTGATTGCAGCGCACGACGTAGACCATGGCGATGACGACAACATAGAGTGGCGTAGAGTGTCTTTCTCTCTCTCTCTCTCTCTCTCTCTCTCTCTCTCTCTCTCTCTCTCTCTCTCTCTCTCGTACACACGCACGCACACACATAAGAAAAATAAAAGAAGAAGACAAAATAAAAAAAGGGGAGGGGGAACGAGTTGCCGAGTTGCTCGTTTGTATTATCGGATGGAAGAAGTATTATCCATTGAGTCACGCTTTCGTATTATCGGATGGAAAAAGAAGAAGAAGAAGAAGAAAGGCAAACATAAGGGGGAAAAAAACCCTCGGCTGAGCCACACATATTTTTATTTGTGGGAAGAAGAAGAAGAAGAAGAAGAAGAAGAAGAAGAAGAAGAAAAAAAAGACAAAGAAGAAAAAGAAAAAAAAAAAAAAAAGACAAAGAAGAAGAAGAAGAACAACAACAACAACAAAAATCAAACACGTGGTTGAGTCGCACGTCTTATGAACGGATGGAAGAAGAAAAAAATATAAATAGAAAAGCAATAAATCATGGAAAAAAAAATGTGCGGGTAGGCCACGAAACTGTCTATCCTACCGAAGAAGAAGAAGAAGAAGAAGATTTTTTTTTTTTTTTTTTTTCTCTCTCTCTCTCTCTCTCTCTCTCTCTCTCTCTCTCTCTCTCTCTCTCTCTCTCTCCATGAGTCGAACTATAAAAATTCAAAAAGGAGAAGTAAAAGGGAACCTTTTT